AATTTGGTTTTACTCCTCCAGGAATTACTTGATTTGGGCGAGGCAGTTGGAACTCAAAGTCGTGGTCTTTCCCAAGATCTAATTGATTTGCTTCCAACTTCAAAATACAAGTCTGGTGGCTTTTTCTCAAGGAAAAGATCTGGGGAGAGGTGATATTTTAATAAGATGCTTTTAATCCTTAAGCTATAATGATTTTCTCCATTTTTTACCTGGATTCATAGCTCTAAGTCCTTTCTTTTGTCCATCTCGTTTTGTGTCTTTCTAATGATATTTCGGAAGTGCATTCTCTTTTTGAACAATTTGGAGTATGGCATACCATCTCTATGGCTTATCAAAGAAGTGACATGTGTTTCCTTCATCTACTCGGTACTTGGGTTACTCGTAGGGATTTATCTGTAGTAACAAGCCTGAGAAAGCAACAGCTTCTAGGCATATAAAGAACTTTCAAACCAGCCTAGGTGGAACTGGTACGTAACTGGCAGCAAGCAAGCTAAAGCTACCTTGATCTGCAAGAACCATATTCATAGCAATCTTAAGAGATTTCCCAAGAAAGCCCCCTCAATCTGAATAGGAGATCCTCATCAAAATACTCTATGGGGAGTTCCGGTAGATGGACTCAAACGGGAATCTTAAAGATAGTATCCATAGAATACCTTCTTATGCAGAAAATCTTATGTTGTCTGATTGTTTTCTCGTCTTGTTTCTATGGATTTATATCAATATGGAATTTCCTTATTATGCCTTATCTCTCTCACTACGGTAATTATGCTGCTATAAACTGTCAAATCTCTGAGATTGCATTATGAGTGTTGGTGAAATGGCGGGATCACTAAAACATGTAGCAATATTATTGAGATCTGATTAAATTCTGATAAAATGTTTTCTTTGTGGGTTTTGATGAAATAAAACAAAGCACGATTTTGATCATTGTTTGCTTGTTACCCAAAATGTCCAGTCTTCCAGAGCATGTTCTTTCATAATATTCATGTTATGGTGCTAATCGAATGTTTCATTAAGATAATAGATGGCCAAATGTATCTTGCTTCAAGAAATTTTCCTTCCTTTTAGTCATTCAAGCTGTTAGCGTGTATAGCAAAACTGTGTGGATTAATACAGCAGTCTTTGTTTTTTTCCATGATCTGTATTTTCATGGTTGCAGGTAGGTAGTGGTATTTATTTATTTTATTTTATTCCAATGAGAAGTGGGCAAAGATGTGTCACTTGAATTGTGTGATATTGGTCAATATGACACTAGCAAAAGCCCTGACCCTCATATTCTTATCCATTGTCATATTTATTTAGTTGAAGGTTCTCATGTATTCCCTTTTTTGCATCCAGGTGTGTGATATGCCAAATGAGATATAAAAGAGGGGACCGACAAATAAATTTGCCTTGCAAGCACGTCTATCATACTGATTGTGGATCTAAATGGCTCAGCATTAACAAGGTAATCCAACACCTTTGTCGTATCAAAATTTATCATGATATGCATACGTTTTGTGTAATGCTTCTCTCAGCTGATCCTGCTCTATTTTCATCAGACATGTCCGGTTTGCAACACTGAAGTATTTGTCGATGAATCAAGGGAATAGGATGACATCAAAATGGTGAATATAGAATTACGAATTCAGATGGTTCTTTGCTTCACAACGGGTTGTTTCCCATCTCTTTCTTTTTCTCAAATATCAAAAAAGACTTCTGCATTCGCAGAGGTAGTCCTGAGACTGAAGCTGTTCCTTATTTCATCTTACACGTTTTGTTTTGTAGAAGAACACCATCTTAGGTTTTTATAGAAAGTATAGATTGCAAGTATCCAATCTGGTTCTTCTGGAGAGGGTTGAGAGTATGTAATTGTTTTAGCTTTTACTCCTATTCTGATGTTCATATGTTCCTTTTGAAATTGTGCTCTATAGCTCCACAGCTCGTTGAATTCGATTAGTCGATTGCTCTTAGAGTTCCTGATATACCCTAGTGAAGGAAAATGAAGAAAGACTATGAGCCTGTGACCATGAATCATCATCCTGCAGTTTATGAATTATATTTTACCTGCATGTGGATTCGGTTACATTCTTGATCCTTCCTTTTACTAGTCTTCGGCTGGAATCATAAATGGGTTGTCTCCTCTCTGATGATCTCTTCTATGGGTTACTGTAAGTGGTTTAAACTTCGACCCTTATTTCTTCCAATTCCCTCGCAAACTTTGACTCCTTTGTGATGTTGGACTAAAGGTAAGATATGCCTGACTAAAGGTTCAACTTAAAAGGACTATAGCACATAGAGGGCCAACCATGGAACCATCACTGGCGCACATATGCTAAGTAAACTGTTTCTTAGACCTCATTCTTCTACTTTTCTTTTTCTTAAACTAGGGAGTGAAAACTGTGAGTTTTTATGTTGTGAGGTGTTTGAGGTTAGCGGTTAGCCTAATGGCCACTGCTGCGACTGTTGAAATTTAAGATCGTGAGTTCGAATCTTGTTGTCTCTTCCCTATAATAGTGTCTAATTAAGGCTGAAAATTTAATTATGAGATTGTGAGTTTTGAGCCTCATTAACTGAGGTATTTTTTTGGATCTATATTAGGTTCCTTTTCGATGCCAATTTCGAAAGCATGAATCATTTTATCGGATTAGGTTTTTTTCAATTAAAAAAAATATTAGACTTCAAAGGCGTCACTTACCTTAGTGAAGTCTTTATACGAGTGTATTACAATACTAAATTGGTTGTATAGGTTAAAAATTAGGTGCATGTAGCATTGTTCATTATAGGTTAAGATTGAATAACGAATGCATTCAATCAGGAGGAAAAACGTGATTTTATTTGACCAATTTTTTCTACCAACAAACTGACGTGGGACGATTGATAACCGTTGAATGTTTAGTATTAGACTAATATTAGGGTAATGTTATTTGAATTTAATTTAACATAATTTGTTGACCTAATTAATCACGATTAGTGAATTAGTTGTAGGTAGAGGTGACAAATGTGTGAGTTGGGTTAAATTAGATTTATTTTTCACTCACGTAGTAAATGGGTTATAATAAGTTGAGTTTATAATGGGTTGGATTAAACCGATTAACCCATAAAATAATTAAAATTCTTAATAGACATATTAATACACCAAAACACACACAAACTAATACACTAAAAATATACACACTAATACATTAAAAATACACACATATATTAACACAAAAACTAAAACACATTTAATAAAAAAAAATATACACATAATGAGTAGGGGTCGATTGTGGGCTATGGGTTGGTCCGTGTGTCGTGTGTCGTGGGTCGATTCGTGGGTCATGAGTGGTGTACCAATGTGTGTGTGTGTGTGTGTTTTTGGTGTACTAGTGTGTGTATGTTTTGACGTATTAGTATATATGTGTGTATTTTTTGGTAGAATAGTATATATATTTTTTGGTATATTAATATATTTATTTAATTTTATTACTTGTATTATTTAATAAAAAGATAAATATTCAATTCAATTGGTACCCATTTATAATCCATATTAATTCGCTTAATTAAAAAGAATTATATAACTCAACCCATTTAGAACTCATAATGCTCAACCCATTTATTTATGGGCGGGTTAGACAGATTAATAGGTTAAGATTATCATCTCTAGTTGTAGGTCCCAAGAAATATTAGAATTCACTGTTAATCCAATAATTTTAAATAATTAAGTCAGCAAATGTAGATAAATTAGGTTCAAGTTTAATGTGGTGCAAAGATAGATCCGTTAAACTAGGTAAAAGAATGTGACAAATTAAACACGTTAAACATAATTTATTTACTTACGATATGAAATCAACAATCATTGGATCGGCAATTCAATAAGAGTCGTGGTGCATGTGTGGGTGGATTAAGATTATAGTCCCCTTAGCAAGTCGCCCACGCAATTCAACTCAGATCCATGTTAGTAATATGCAAATCTGCACCCATTAATTAGTAATGATATTAAATAAGCAGCAAATAAGAAAATCCCAACGGTCGAAAAATAATAAAATATGACCCCCCTCTCCAACGGTTCTCTCTTCACTGTCTCAGCTCTCTCTCTCTCTCTCTCTCTCTCTCGCTGAACCTCAATCGCAAACTCACTATCTCCCATATCTGTCTCTTTATCAAAGATTAGCTCTATCGATTTCAGGCCTCAGTTCTCTCTCTCTCTCTCTCTCTCTCTCGGAGATGGAGGTCGCCATTATCGATTGGAAAACCATAAACTCCAGTTTCGTGAAAGACGATCTCTACGAGAACATCAATGCTCCTCGGTGGGTCGATTTCGAAGCTCCCCAAGAATCTGTAGATGATGAAGCTTGGTTCTGTAGGCCTGGTAAAGACAGATACACACACACACACACACACATACATTACATATATAGCCCAATTTAGAGGGGAATTCTTGGATGGGGTCTGAGAATTTAGTACTTTTTATTACTGCAGATTGTAACCATCCGAAGACGGTTGAAGATTTTCACAAAGAACTGCCCAATTCAAAGGTTCACTCAATTCCAAGTTTTCTTGATTTCCTCTAATAATTCTTGTTTGGTTTGCAAGAAAATATAGGAAAGACGTAACCACGTTTTCAATTTCAATCTCAGATTTTCAACACTGGAGAAAATTATAACCCAAGATATCAGAACAATTTGACATGGAGAACCATGAAAACATCAATGCCTAGAGTTCAAGACTCATTTTTTCCCTCTTATATTTGACTATTTTTTTTCAATATATTTCTGTTCTTTTTGGTTTTTTTTGTTTTATGAAAAACAAAAAAAAAACTCTGCTCAAATATCAAATTTCTTGATCTTTGTGTATCTTTATATCGTTTGATTTAAAAAAAAAATTGTTCTAAATGAACACAACCATTCTTGATCAAGTTTCCAGTCTCAAAGTTTCAAAATTAATGACTAATCTACTAATTTTTAAATACAATTATCAAACTACGACACTTTTGAACTTATTTATCAAACTATGACACTTTATAAATTTTGGAATTGTTGCTCCGCCTTTGCTTTTGGTCAACATCCCTTCTTTTGTTAAAAAGTGGGGTCAACGGATGTTGACCCTGTTTTTTCTGTCATAGTTCGATAAGTAAGTTCATTCTATAATACACTTTTGAATTGTGAGGTACCAGTACGAACTCAATATATGCAAGTGTTATTCCGTAAAATAACTCGAATTAATTTGATAATTTTATTTCAAAACTGCCATAGATTAGTACTTAATTCCAAGTTTTCAATATGTTGATCCTGGGAAAAGATAACTTCCACCGAACAGAGGCAACCATAAAGCTATCAGTAATGCTACACTGACCATCTTGCTTCATAATACCAAAAACACATTAATCATACAATTCACCATTTAATTATTCTCCCCTTTTCCTGAACTTTCTCTGCTGCCAAACATATAGTTAACTTTTTTAATTTTGTAATGGTATCATTTTCTTGATTATCATTTTGTGTTTTGTGTAGCATCAGAGACCTGCTACTGTGTCTGAGATTCTTCCATTGAGTGATCCAAATACAAGGTAAACATAAAGAAACTTAGATCTAAACTATGAAATTAAACTTAATATTTGCCTATATGACCCCAATTTTCCTATCCAGAGATGCTGCATTGAAGAAAAGAGGGTTCACTCAAACTTCATTTTCATCAAAGAAAGATTCAAGACATGATACAGTACTCGAAGATAGCGAGAATCAAAACCCAAATTTCTCAACGCCACCAAACCGCAAAGCTAATAAATTCATAAAAGAAGCTTTCGATTCAAGTATAGAGAAGAGAGGGGTAGATGATTCGTTACACAAGGAAGAGGCGCCGAGGCTGAAAAGTACACTATCAGCACGAAATTTGTTTGCAGGGAGGGATATACTGAATCAGATAACAGAATTTTGTAATGAGTTGAAGAGATTGGCGACAAGGGGAAAGGATCGAGGGAATGTGAAGAGCCCGGAAATAATGCAGAAACACAAGGCGAAGGACCAATTAGGTGAAAGATTGAGGGATTTGAATGAGAGAGAGGAAAGGAAGCCATTGCTAGTGGTGAGAAAAGAGAAATGTGGAGCAATGGAGAATAGTAATGTCAAGGAGAAGCAGAAACAGGAGGTGAAGGATCGTTTAGGTGAGAATTTGAGTGATTTGGATAATAGGGAGGAGAGGAAGCCGTTGCTAGAGGCGAGTAAAGAGAAATGTGAGACAGTGGAGAAAAGCAATGCCAAGCAGAAGCTGAGGAGGAAGAAGTGAGTCTCTCTTTGAATGCTCAGTAAATTACATGCATGCAAACTTCGATAAATTACACAAAATCTCAAAGGACTGTTTCGATAGATGATCATACACCTGATATTTACTTTCTCTCCATGAGCAATGAAATCGTTGGTCACGGTCTCCAGTTTGATTTATTTTAGATACAGAGACTTCACATTTAAAATTGCATAAAAAAAACTATTTATCTCTGAGAGGTCAATTCAGGGAAAAGTCTTTTTTTTACAAGGTACGACTTGAAATTCCTATTTATTTGTTACGAAATCGAGCATAGATCAATTTCCCCTTTTATTTGGGAATATTGAATACACACCCAAATCTGAGCTGCATGTTACGAGAACTCGATCTAATGTGTCTTGCAACTACCGGAGCAAAGTCAATGAGTTGTTGTTCTTTACATGAACATTTTACTCTGCTTTCACCAGAAGAGCCAAGGAGTTGGGCTAATGGGTTCACTTCGATCACTTGACACGCCAGAGTCAAACTATTGGATATCACAGAACCATTTTCACTCAATTCAAATCGGAAAAGTCGTTGAATTTTTGAATTTGGGGGGATGCTAGATGAGTTTGATCTATTTACTATATTTGGTCAAAGATTAATGCATAGTTTCACTGTGCAGAAGAGATGATGAAGCAGAGAACACCCCAATCTATGTGGACTTGAAGAACATAAAGGGTAAAGGGCATGCAAGCTTGTCCCAAATTCGGACTTGTCCTCCTTCACCTCAATGTTTTTCAGCCATCCGTGACCCCGCCAAAGCCACCCCACCCAAGGCTTTCAGGTCTAGACCACCTCAGGTATGGACTTTCTTTTACTTTCTATATGTGATGAGTCCGGAGTTTCTTTTTCCCTTTATATTTTCTCCAACTTCCAAACATATTCACAAGAGATCGAAAAATCTTTATACATATTTGTGCTTGTCCTTGTCGAATTGCAATTGAAAACTATTGACTTTTGCTTACCTCATTACCTATTCTGAATTTACCACCTCCCTTGGATGATGGTCAGGCAAAGGTGGATTCATAGTTCACATTTATGCAAGCAATAAACCAGAGAGTGAGTGTCATTGATTGGTTTTCTACACTACTTTGAATGAAACATTTGGTCATGAAAAAGATTTGAAATTGATAACTCATGCAAGCTGCTACCCTGCCTAATGCAACTCCAGGCTTCCTTGTATGAGAGTAAATATGAACTTGTCATTCTATGCTGGCCAAGTCTACACTCTGCACCCCTTTTGTTCTGCAAAGTGATTATCCACGGTCATTATTGGATACCCTCTCTCTCTCTCGGGCTGAAACTTGGGCATCTCAAAGCCAATCTAATTTAAAAACAATCTTGTGCTAGATTTCACAAATTGTATTGAAATTTGAACTCAAACTTGTAGAGATGAATCTTGATGTCCATTTTTTTTATATGCAATTACCTTCGTTTTATTGATTCATTTTTAAAACGGAATGATGGGTGATTTAGGAAGGGGGAATACTTCAAGAGGTGGACCAGAGCAAGGGGATCAGAGAGAAACTTGGCGACGAGGACAATCATGGAAGAAGTATTGAAAAGGAGGAAAAAACTTTTGATGTTTTCTGGTTCTTGAAGCCTTGCACGCTTTCGAGCTAAGATGGCTAAACAGTAAGCAAGAAGCACATCATTCTTCATTTTTTTTCAATTTATAATCTTCAATCATTTCTTCTTCTTTTTTCTCCTTACACATATCATTTTTTTGGCTGGAATTATCCATAACAACTCATGGATTCATTCAATTGTTGTACTTGCAACAGTTTGAATCAATAAATAGTTCTGCTCTTTATCAGCCTTTTCACCTGGATGCGTCATGCTAAGTTAAACATACTTTTCAATGACATTGTGAGCTAAGTTTTAGCAGAGATCCTCGTTTTCATTTTGGAGTGAGAGAAAACACAATATTTGGATTCATGAGGTGCAGCACTCAATCGAGAAGCAATAGAGGTTAGAATGAACAGGGTAACTTCTAGACTCGGACTAAGGCATTCAAAGAACAGCCTCCTAGAGGCCACTGGTTTATGAGGAGAGACTAAGTTACTTCACCAAAAAATTTCAAGGTTGAATATGTTGGGAGTATGTGTTGTTTGGATGGATGGTAGACTGGTGGGATGGTGAAACAAAGCATTAGGTTGAATTTGTGGTTATATTTGATTGAGTTGGGTTTAGGTTTTTCTGTTGGTGGTGACTGAGGTGGGTGGGTGGATGGGTTGTACATGGCCAAGGTTAACAGTAAATTTAGACGGAAGGGCAACATCAAATTAGATGACTCAGATTGTATACTTGAGGGACTACATTGACACAAAAAATTAGTTCGGGGGTTTAATTGATACTGATGACATAACTTAGGGGTCATCTGTGTAGTTAACTCTGAAAAAAAATCTTTACCTTTTTTGAATTAGCAAAGGAAGGTGTTCAAGGAAGATACCATATGCATCACCAAGATAAGTTCTCCTATGACCTATCTAAGTTCCTCAAGTACCATCAAGGTGGGGGGATGGTCAAAGAATCACCAAGAAAAGTTATCCTATGACCTATCTAAGTTCCTTAAGTACTAAATTTCCGTTGTATATCCTCTCCCTTCCCCAATGGAACTTGCCATGTAGCCACAACCAATATCACCCAGGCAACAAAAGGCTTTGTCAGTTGTCCTTCCAAACCCAAAGCTTACATAGGATATGCCCTGAGTTCACTTTTCTTTCCCAATTGCCAATATACACTATACAAAGAAATACACAAAATCTGCAAGCCCCCCCCCCCCCCCTTCCCTCCCTCTCTGCACCACCAAATTATAAATTTTTAACTCAGAAGCTTAGAGATAATCATTTTTTTCCTAGTACCCTATTTTACAAAAAGAAGTTTCGATCCACATCAACTTATAATTTAATCAGTTCAGTGTTACTAATCCAATGAAGTCTAAAAAACTATTATTGAGTTTAATCTCATAAAAACAAAACAAAACAAAACAAATTTCGAGTTCTAAATTTGACAACCCTTTTAAGGGATTAACCCAGAATGTGAGTTCAAAGTTTGATAACTCTTTTAAGAGTGAGGTCACGAGAGATTTATAAACTTATGAATAATTTCGGTGTAGATAAAGTGTGGAGATGTCCTAACTGCAATAAATAAAAAAATAAAAAAGAAAGAAAGAAAACTAAGAGAAGAAATTGTAAATGGATCACCCATTTATTTATTCATTTGAAACAGAACTCTTCATTTACATCAATGATGTGAAAGTACTCCCGCAACAAACACCACTAACATCAACAACAAATACCCGCCACCATTCAATGAGAATTAACCTCAAACACCACAAGAGCTCACAAAGATTTTTAACCCCAAAAAAAATAAATCAAAATTAAGGTATAATTACAAGATAAGAAAGGGATTGAAGGTCCGATTTTCAGGCAAATATCCAAAGTAAAAAATGATAATCTCTACCTTGTGTTACAAAGTAGGCAATCGAAGATCCTTGAGAAAGCAGACCGTAAACGCGGGTACACGCTCCTTGTATACAGACTCGACTCCTGCCATAGATCCTCCATGGTCTCCACGAATAAATTCAAGCTTCTCAGAGGAGGAATGTAGAGTGTCAAAGGCACTGCAGAGAAAGCCACTGCAAAGAACAATTGCAGCATCTCAGCTTCTTCTTGTTGTCCAGCACGAGAGAGAGAGATGGGCTGGGGTTTAGAATTTGTGGATAGGTGAAGAGCCAAGATTTAGACTAGTTTTGAATTTTCTTGCAGTTTCTCTACTTTTCTTTCTGCCTATATATATACACTGTGAGTTAGACGGTTCTGGATGCATACATGGACATGGTACACTTGATAATTCTTAAGACCAAAACTTATCCAAAAAATTTTAAAAAAAAACCAAACATTTATAAATGTTTATTTATTTATTTTTTGACACAACGATCAGAATATTCGGATCAATTTACACGCACCTCAATTAATCCCCTCTCTGGTCCGTTCTAAATGTTTATTTATTTATTTTTTTAACTCAACAATTAGAGTATTCTGGTCAATTTACGCACATTTTAATTAATCTTCTCTTTAGTCCAATCAAAAATAGGTCATTCATGTCGGAACTAAGGTTATCCCTTATGATTTGGCCCCAAGAAATTATCAAGGTTTGAACTCAATAAATAAAGATTTACAGTTCATCTTTATTATCACTTGAACTAACTCTCAAAATTATATTTTTATTTATTATCAAATAAAAATTGAATGTGTGTAAAATTTTTATTTTATATTATTATAATTAATGGCTACAATATCAAACAAAGTTCAATATGATACCAATTATTTTTTTTAAGTAAACCAATATTCACTTGTTTAAATAGTAAACGGGTTAATTCTTTGTACCCAATTAATTAATAAGTAGTGCAAAATCAACTAAATATAATATAATTATTATCAAAAATATAATTTATGTATAACATAAATTTAAATAATACAATTATAAACAGGTGACTTACTTAAATAAATGTCATTACATACATCATTGACAGCCTTTAATGAGACGGGTCCAAATGGAAGAGCACCGATCTTGAATTGGGCGGCGTAGGAACAAAGCTACTCCAGGAGAAGAGTTGATGCTTTCATGGGTGGGACACTAGGCTTTTCTCTCTGTACAATGACAGGAAAAACATGGGTGCCCACAGAAATATATTCTAATACTAATCATTTTGATTGTTTATAAAAATTAGGTAAAAGAAAAAGAAGTTAATTACACTTGTATCCTTCGTGATTTAAAGGAATTTTAAATATTTTCTTCTGATTCTCTTAATCATAGTAACATCCTTTAATTCTTTCACGTTTATATCGAAATCCATACATTGTTACATACTCACTTTTCTCTTTTTGCATTCACCCTGTCCACCACAACCCCCACTTCTATGTTGTATTTGTATGTATCGGGGTGTGTTTATAGTTATATTTTATATCTATATTAACTATGACTCGTACTTGAAGACATTACATAGTTTTTTGGGCAAAATTGATGTAGATGGTGGTAGTAGTGGTGATGGTCGCTAATATTTTTGGTGTTGGTGGTAAAGCTACCGATTGGGGTATTTTGGACCTTTTAAAAATTGTTCTTATTATCTGGGGCTTGGATTTGTGTTGATATGCTATGATAAAAAAATATTTTTGCTCAAAAAAGAAAAAGAGAGATGATGTTCATGTTCTTAAACTTTGACTAACACGTGGTAGAGTATCTAATGAACAAAATTAAAAAGGATATAGTGTGATTTCAAAACTCTAAAGGGTATAGTCTATAATTTTAGCAAACTACAGGTAGCATTAGTGTAGTTCTCCATGTAATTTATTATTGAAGTTGTGGTAGGTCTCCTGGCTTATATTTGTACACGTAATCCTAGTTCAAGTCACCAACCATGTCCAAACTTAATGCTGTGGACCAATGCTAGTCAAAGAATAGGTCTATTGGCTTATAATTTTACACTCCATCTTGTTTTTAAAAGTCACCAAGCATGTCTAAACTGATGTTACATTTAATAGGAAAGTTGAAAAAGTAAGAAGGATAAAAAATATGAGGGATATATTTTTTATTTTTTAAGGATGAAAAATAAAAATGATGCACTTTTTTTTTTTTATGTTTGGTTGAATGGATGAAAAATAAAAATAATTAATTTTTTTTTGTGCTACCTAAGATTAGGGGGTAACAATCGAGTCGTGTCGTGTCAGATTCGTGTTGAGTCATAAAATTATAAGTTTTTTATATTTTTTGTTCGCGTGTCAGGTCATTTTCAAGTTCGTGTCATAAAACTCATATCGAGTTCAAGTCATGTCATTGTATTGAGTTGAAAATTTTCACCCTTAGTTAAGATGAAATTTTTTTCTTTTTTTTAATTTAACATTTTAAATTTTAAATTTAAATTTAATTTTTAAGTTTTTTAAAATATATATGTATATACATATTTTATCATTATATTTTTATATAAAATTAATGTATACATAATATATGTATATATTAAAAGATATATAAACAAATAAGATATATCTCAATACAAATAATTAAATTTTCATTCATTTTCCTTCCGATTTTGGAAAGATTGATTTTGGTGAGTTAGAAAAAAAATTAATTCATCCACTTTTTCATCCTTTCTATTTTCTTTATTTACCAAATATTATGTTTTATTTATCTTTTCAACTTTTCATCCTTTCATTTTTTTATCATATTAAACAAAACATTAATTTGATTAACCAATCCTAGTCAACAAAACTTATAGTAATTCGGTTCATTTTTTGTAAATAGGTCCTTCACATGTACGTGATGAATGATCTATTATTGAGTGAGCTTGAAAAAAAGTGTATGAGATGAGATACAAATGTTACGTAACATGACAAATTTGTGGACTGCGGGTCATTTATGCTTCGTTTCATACGTTGAAAAAATGGAATGATGAAAAGTCTGAGAGATAAATAAAACATTAAATTTGATAATGAAGTAAAATAAAAATATTACAAAACTGGATGAAAAATTAATTATATGTGTTTAAATTATATATTATTTTTTTATATATCACAAAAAATGGAAGGATGGAAAATATATGTTTTTTTGGATATGAATCACAAAAAAATAAAATTCGTTGGATTATCATATCAGCTTTTTAAAATTCGAATCAGATTTTAATCAGTTAAAATCCGAATCAGATTTTAATCAGTTAAAATCCGATATCACTTAATTTGTTGACAAGCCTACCCATATGGTATAATATCACTTCACAATAGTGATATAATATAATTGTTACATTAAATATTTTCTATTAGGGTTAAT